GGACCTGCGCCACGATGCCCAACGGAAGTACGGTATTCATGTCCCCTCTGCATCAGCGAAGGATCAACGAACCTGACGGCGAGGAATCTGGCTACACACCAAAAACGTCAGCATAAAGGTCGAGGAAAAGAGCTACTACTCAGTTTGTCTCCTCCTGGATCCTTGCGCTCGAGCAGCCAAGCACCTGGTTACGCCGCATGTGGCACATTCGGCGACCTTTTCTCTCCACGCACCAAGCATTGCTGCAAACCAGGTTCTACATCGTCTCCATCTCTCTCTGGGTCGTTGCAGCCACCGCAAGAGGATGATAACGATAAGCAGCAACTCCTATTACCGTGGGACCTCAACGACGTCAGCAGTGCCCTGGATCAGGTTCGACAAGATACTCTTGAAACGTCAATTTTTTCGACAGTCAAACACATCGATCCGCAACTGGCGAAAGTATTTTGCAAACACTTCCAACATGTCGTCATCCTCTTCGTGCAAGCATTTGGAGCTGTACACANCCAGGTACTACATCGTCTCCATCTCTCTCTGGGTCGTTGCAGCCACCGCAAGAGGATGATAACGATAAGCGGCAACTCCTATTACCGTGGGACCTCGACGACGTCAGCAGTGCCCTGGATCAGGTTCGACAAGATACTCTTGAAACGTCAATTTTTTCGACAGTCAAACACATCGATCCGCAACTGGCGAAAGTATTTTGCAAACACTTCCAACATGTCGTCATCCTCTTCGTGCAAGCATTTGGAGCTGAGCACATGGATCAGCAGAAGTCATATACCTCAGATCTGCCTCCTCTTGCAGCGGAAATATATGAAGTAGCACGTACGTGTTGAAAGACCNCTCCTCTTGCAGCGGAAAGATATGAAGTAGCACGTGTTGAAAGACAACTCCAACTTGTCCGAGCAACAAAGTTGCTTCATCTTACCCCAGCATTGCATGGATCGACTGATGGAAGGATGAACAGGGTATCCCGATTTAACCGCTTTGCAAATGGTGATCTGAGTGAACCTATCGCCTGGCTCATGATGTACGAGGAGAATCGTCGACTTCAGTATTACGCGGATACTGAAGACAACCGCCAAAGAAGAGCCACAAGACTTGTGCATGAAAGAGGAGGCATCACGGAAGTTGCCAGTGCCTTAATCTCCCCAGCACCTTCACCGCGCAACAACGACACGCTGGAGCATCTTCGCAACCTACACCCTAACGAAGATCCTGACGATATTGCTACTGCGTGGGATTCCAGCATCAAAGCTGCGGGAGATAGTATAAAAACGCGCAGGATAGACTCCGTCGCCGAAGCTGATTGCTGAACCATTCGAAATCAAGTTCATCAAGCAGACGGTGAAGAAAGCCAACCCTCAGAGTGCTCCGGGGCCTGATGGTCTTCGTTTTTCGTATTTCCAAGCTAGCGGGATGAGTGATTCTTTTACTGAAACCTTGGCGGACTTCAGCTTTAAAGTCTTCTACTACGGAGACGAGCTTCCGGATTTCTTTTGGAACCTCCACACCAGTGCCAACCTTTCAGCGCTGGGAGAGAAAAAACGGCCGATTGCAGTTGGAGGGGTTTTGCGTCGCATCATCAGCGGCAGCTTCTGCCGCCAGTACAAGGGAGGAATTGCGAACATCTTCGAGGCAGCAAATCAGTTCGGAGGTGTTGTTCCAGGAGGAGTTGAGATAGTGGCTTCCACAGCAACCCTCAGCCACACGCAAGGCAGCACCATTCTCTCATTTGATGGGAAAAATGCTTACAACAGCATGCACAGATCTTCCATCTTGCCAGCAGTGGCCACTCATACGCCACACTTGGTGAAGTACTTCGGGAACATCTACGCTCGAACCAAGGCGAAACTTCTGTTCAAAATGGAAGATGGTTCGATCGAGGTTGTTCTTTCACAGCGCGGAGTTCAACAAGGCTGCAATTTGGGAGGGTTCGGCTTCTGTGTAGGACTTCTTGATATCATGAAAGAGTTCAACAACAAGCCACCAGTGCCAGGAGTGAAACTCATCGGATACGTCGACGACCTCCAAGCACATCTTCCACCAGGTTTGGCTAGGAACATGCAGGCCATATCCACTGTAACGAATTGGATTCAGGAACGTCTCTCCCAAAAAGGCATTGAGCTCAGTCTCCCGAAATCCAAAGTGCTTTTCCCGGAAGGTCTTTGCATGTCCTCTTTGACAAACGACGAACAGCAACAATTGACGAAAATTGGTCTGTCAGTTGCTGAAGGTGGCATGCCAGTTGTCGGGATCCCAGTAGGAACAGAGGAGTTCCAGAGGAATTTCGTTTCCAAAATCGCCCGTGGTGACCCGGCGGAATTGATACTCCGCCTAGCAACGCTTGACGACCCTCAAGCCAGCTATCAACTGCTGCGTTTATCTGGTGTGCCACGTTTGTTCCATCTGCTGAGGACGATTGCACCGTCTATCACCAACTCTGCCGCAAAAATACATGACAACATGATGATGTGGGCAATGACTAAGATCGTCCTTGGCAAGATGGCCGACAGCATGCGAAT